CACTGATTACATCCTATATCTCTCATACTTACCAGAACATTTCTCACAAGTTGTATGGCACTGATTACAATCAGTACCAGTACATTTCTCACAAAATGGATGGCACTGATTACATTCTATATCTCACATAATCACCAGTACATTTCTCACAAGATGGACGACACTGATTACATTCTATATCTCACATACTCACCAGTACATTTTTCACAAGATGGATGGCACTGAATACATTCGTTGTTCTCATAATAGTAATTCGATTCACATTTGTCTTTGCATTCACCACGTTCAAGTACTTTCCCATCAGCACAACTTAGACACTCAGATTTTGTGGAACCACTACATTTTTCACAACTCATGTCGCATCGTTCACATTTTCCATCTGAAACAAAAAATCTATATAAAGAAAAATAATTAATAATTTGCAGAAAGAATTTTTATGTTGAGGAAATTTCAACACTGAGGTTCTTCAAACAAAGTGGAAGGGTCTGTGTGAATCTTGTATATAATGACACTAACAGGACCTAGAAAACTTGTTCAAACTTGCATACATTTTCTAAATTTAAATGTTTTACTATTATAGTAATTCATTCATTCACGCAGTTATACTTATTGTAGCCTACCCAGGACCGCAATCTGTGCGACAGCTATGCCGATTCCAGACTAAATGTTCTTGACATGAAGTACAATCATCATCCATTGGACCTTGACATGTTTTACAGTTATAGTGACATCGACGACACTCTTGTACATCTTTACCATCAACATCTTCCACGCGGTCACCATAGTAACCATCAGGGCACTCGGTCAGGCAGCTATAGTCTTAACAAGAAGAAATTATCTAATTTATCGAGTGCATTCACACAATATAAATTTATTTTATAGGAGAAATGATAATTGTCTTTATTTTTTGCACATAGCTGGAGTTTGACTGTGGATTTAATTTAATTTTAAGAAGTAAGTATGAAAACAAAAATTGCTTTATATTGAAGACAAAAATACAAGGAGATTAATTGAAATATTCACAATTGCCAGGTACAAGAGCTTGGTAATTGTTTGCAGACTTTGAACAGTCATTTTCTATTTCTCAGTTCATGAAAAAATTGTAAACAAGCCATGCATGGCACAGTCCTCGTTAGTTATCAAATTTAAGATATATTGTTTTGTTTATAGTAATATAGTTGGAACATAAACATGTCAGTATGGATCAAGAAGATGATGCTTGATTATGATGATTTGTTAACATTAAAATGATTGACATCTTGATCGTCAAATGAGTACTTGTCCATATTGAGAAAAATTGCTCTGGAACAGCATTGATTGAAACAAAATGGCCACCAGTCGGCCATTTTGAATATCTATAACATGATGTAAAACCAATATATAAATTTTGATCATAATCAGTCAAAGCGTGGCAGAGATATATATATATCACTAGAACTGCATTCATTAAAACAAAATGGCCGACAGATGTGCATCAAGGTCCCATAATTTCGAACGTATGTACCAAGTTTAAACAAAATCCATCCATAAAAATGGCTGCCATTCTGCAATCTTGAATCAGATCATGAAACAAATTGATGTGCATATGTATAATATTATGTGTGATGTATGTGTGAAGTTTGATTGTGATTGGTCCAGGTATGTCCAAGATACAGGTCTAGACGGACCGACATATGCACGCATGCACGCACAAAGGTCAAAACATAAGTCCCTGTTTTCGGACTGCGTCCAAACAGCGACTAATTAAAGGTTGGTGGGCATTCTTGTCAGATCCTTGTGGAACACTGCCAGATGTTTTAATACAAATCATATTCTAACTGCTGACAACCACTGAGCTGTCAGCTAGATGGTGAGAGAGTGTCAGAAGTTATTGAGCCCAACAGAAATCTCTTACCTTTATGATAGAGAGGCAGCTCACAGCTCAAACAATCAATTTCAGTATCACCATCACATGTAGAACAAGATTCATGGCAAGGCATACACTGAACACCAATCTCGAACATCCCAGTTGGGCAGTTGGATCTACATGTCTTAGTATCCTCATCAAAGAAGAAATGGAAATTACATTCTGTACACTGGCTTGCCGCTGGCCCCTCACATTCCCAACAAGAAGAATGGCATGCTGTAATAAATTATTCAACAAGTCATAAGATGAAATGATTCACAGTTCGTTCGTACCAATTCACAAAGTAAGTTATGTGGTTCTGATAACATGTACCATAATTCTCTGAAAGATCGTCCACTACAAAAGATAGTCCATGGGCATTGTTTCAGCACCTGGGCATTGTTTCAGCACCTGGGCATTGTTTCAGCCCATGGGCATTGTTTCAGCCCATGGGCATTGTTTCAGCACCTGGGCATTATTTCAGCACCTGGGCATTATTTCAGCACCTGGGCATTATTTCAGCACCTGGGCATTATTTCAGCAGCTGGACATTATTTCAGCACCTGGGCATTATTTCAGCACATGGGCGATCCTGTGGTGCTGCAAAAAAAGCATATGGTTCTTTTTTCAAGAGATCTATCAATAGAATACAAATGGAAAATATTTTTTTCTTGTGTGTATAATTTTTGTTTCATTCAATTAATAGCGATTCATTTTTATTTTTCAAGTGAAAACAGATACAAACAACATTTGCCATAATTATTTGAATTGTTCAATAAACACACGACTTAGAACAGCATTTCTTGAAACAAAATGGCCACCAGTCGGCCATTTTGAAACCAATCTGAGAATCTGTATGTATCAACAAAATCCATTCATAAACAACTGTGGAATTGAATAAATGCTTGATTTTGACAACTTTTTAGCACAAAAATGGACATGATGCCATATATCTGTGCAGTTTGAATGTGATCAGACTAGGCAAGTCCAATATACAGGTGGATACACATGCACAGAGGTCGAAATATAAGTCCTTGTGAATCCGAACAGAGACTAAAAACCTCCTCAAGTGATAAATATAACAGGACTAGTTACCTTCACACCGTCCACTTCTTGTATCATGGTATTCACTGTTTAGACAATGAGCCACACATTTACCACCTTCCAAGATCTTTTTTCCATTGCAGCTTGTGCAATCATACTGGGAAGGACCAACACAGGTAGCACATCCATCATGGCAGTCGTGACAATTCAATTTATTATCAATCCAGACATCATACTGACCATTAAGACAAGTTTCATCATTTAAATAACAGAGGCCATTGTGAATTCTGAAACCATTGTCACATTCTGGGGAATAACCAGAGCAAAAGAATCTGTATGTTACTAGTTTAGATGACATCTTGTGAACGAAGGGCTTCTAATGAGAGTAAATATATAACTTTGAACATCAAAGATAACTTTTGTCACCATTCACAAAATAGTTCTACCGTATGTGCATATTAATTAGGTAATTTGCATATCATTAACCCTTTGAGCACTAAAGTCAACTTTTGTCACAATTCACAAAATAGTTCTATATACCGTATGTGCATATTAATTAGGTAATTTGCATATCATTAACCCTATGAGCACCAAAGTCAACTTTTGTCACCATTCACAAAATAGTTCTACCGTAGTTGTCCGAGTATAAACCCCTGCTAGAGTATAAGTCATTTATCTGATTACACATCTGAGAGAGGTCCACATGTAATACTTATATAAGTTATATCAAAGCAATTGAACTTACGGTTGTTTAAAGAAGTCGAAAATATCACTTTTTACCAAAAATGACAAAAATATTCATCAAATTAGAGAATTGATATCATCACAAAATGAACAATTCTGAGAGAGGTCCACATGTTATACCTATATATGTAATATCAAAGCAATTGAACTTGCAGTTTTTAACAAGAAGTCGAAAATATCACTTTTTACCAAAAATTACAAAAATATTCATCAAAATTATAGAATTGAAGATATGATCATGAAATGAACAAATCTGAGAGAGGTCCACATGTAGTACCTATATAAATAATATCAAAGCAATCAGACTTACGGTTTTTAACAAGAAGTCAAAAAAAATCACTTTTACCAAAGTTAAAGTTGTTTTTTGCATATTTTGGCGTCATTTTTTAGACATTTCAATCTTTCCTGACGCTTAAAATAGTCTATTTAAGTTTTTAAGAGCGTGTTTATTGTGACTAGTGTGAATGGGCAAGCTTCGTTTCGACAATGGTAGTTATCACTGTAAACAATGTTGAATTATTCTTCTAATGCTCAGTTTATCTTTTGAAAAGAACTATTTTTTATTTGAAAAAATAAATCATACCGTTTCCATATCAAAATCTAAGCCAAAATATCATACTACAACATCAAATCTTTTTCGCGTTGCATTCAACATTAACATATTCAAATGAGCTATGGTAATTTGAACACTTTGGCATCATCCAGCATTTTGATTGGTTAATTAGGGATTTGACCTATTAGGACAACTTGTGCACTAGAAAGAACATGGCAGATACCTGACAGCATCGAGCATATATATGCGACCGGAATCATTTGCTTACAATGAAAAAGTTAAATTTTATTTGCAATTTAATAATTATAACAATTCAACAAATTTATTTTTTTGTACGTTATTATAATCACTATACTGAGTAATAATCAACAATTGTGAAACGCAGCATGACCGGATTGCGCAACCATGAAGGCAATGCAGTTGTGTTAGTTTTTATTTGAAATTTCGTTTAGAATATACTTTCGTTACCCCAAAACGTACAGACCAATATTTCCGTGAAATGCAGGGTGAATGCTGTTCCACTTAGTAAACGCACCCAAGAGTGATTTGTGACCCCGGGGCGTAACGACCGATCCTCAAGTTAATTTGAACGATGATAGTAAGAAGACACTCTAGTATCATACACACGACGATGTGTTTATGAGTAAATTTGCATAAATTATTACTTTGGAGAAGTTTTAACTTTTATCCGTTTGTAAGCCCCCCCCCCCCCATTTTCGTCAATTCACCATTTTCCTGGAGGGTTTATACAGTATGTGCATATTAATTAGGTAATTTGCATATCATTAACCCTTTGAGCACCAAAGTCAACTTTTGTTCCTATTCACAAAATAGCTCTACATACCGTATGTGCATATCATTGACCCTTTGAGCACCAAAGTCAACTTTTGTTACCATTCACAAAATAGTTCTATATACCGTATGTGCATATTAATTAGGTAATTTGCATATCATTAACCTCTTGAGTACGAAAGTCAACTTTTGTTCCTATTCACAAAATAGCTCTACATACCGTATGTGCATATTAATTAGGTAATTTGCATATCATTGACCCTTTGAGCACCAAAGTCAACTTTTGTTACCATTCACAAAATAGTTCTATATACCGTATATGCATATTTAATTAAGTAATTTGCATACCATTAACCCTTTGAGCACCATTCACAAAATAGTTCTATATACCGTATATGCATATTAATTAGGTAATTTGCATATCATTGACCCTTTGAGCAGCAGTCAACTTTTGTCACTATTCACAAAATAGTTCTATATACTATGTGCATATTAATTAGGTAATTTGCATATCATTAACTCTTTAATCACCACTCACAAAATAGTTCTATATACCGTATATGCATATTAATTGAGTAATTTGCATATTATTAACCCTTTAAACATCAAAGTAAACTTTTGTCACCATTCACTTAATAAACCTGTGCAAATTTGTCCTTGTACAGTGAATTTCATGATGGCGTGACTGTATTTTATAGTAAATCACATGTTGATGGATGCATGGCAGCCTAAGATTGACTTGCAAAGACTCATGGGTAGTGGACATTACCGAATGACTTCTATATCCTAAGAAAGTGTATTCTTCAGATTTGAATGAGGCACAATAATCTTTCAGGGCAAACGCCTTAGATAATAAAATTTCCATAAAAAAACATTCATGCTTTCTGCAACTGAAACTTCAACCCATAAATCCATTGCCACAACCATCACCATGTTACATCATTATGGGAAGATTTAATCTAGAGTTTGGGGAAATGATACATAAAGTCCATTTGGATCTGAATTAACAAAGAAATTATGGAAAATACACATGAATTTGTGAAAATTATGGCATTTAAAAAGCATTCTATTTTTAAAACTGCATTATTGAACGGTGTTAGTGTTAAACAGCATACAGTATATTACCTTCGCAGTCACCAATCTGATTACATTGTTTGCAAAATGATGGACAACCTGCTTCAGTCCGCACACACTCATTACCATCCTCAGTATAATACCTAAGACCAAAGAAAAAAAAGTTAACAATGAACATCTTTATCTCATGTACTTCTCAGAATCTACAATGATGAAAATTACTATAGTAATGAATAGAAGAATTTTCAAGGAAATAACTGTAAATTGGGAATACCCAATTGATGCAATTACCCAATACTCAGCTGGAATCAATTTTCGCTGAAAAGACTTTTTGGGTGTTCTGTATGGAATTTATTTTCACTGATATTTGACAAGTTGAATGTAAAATATAGAAAAAAAAGTATATTCGCTGAATTTTATTTTCACTGAATCATTCCTTCAGCAAAAATAGCGAAAATAAATTAAGTGAAAAATAAAAGGATTTTACAGTAGTAGCATGCATTTAATATGTAAATGAAACTACAGTTAAGTAAGCAATTTGTTCATGGTCCAGCACATGATACTGTATTTGTTCTATTAATAGTGTATGTGCTTATGTAAATTGCCGAGGTGTTTCTATAAGGTCAAAATAATAATATTTTATGACTCAACATACAACAAATGCAACTTTCAGTTTATACATGTATTCGGGTGCACTTCTAATACAGCCAAATTAGTAAAAACATTTTCTTTAGAGATGTACTTCTAATAAAACAAATACAGTATACAATTAAATGATTCAATTGGGCAAGAGTGTTAACTTACATAGGACATGCATCAACACAAGTCCCATTATATAAGAAAGTACTGTGCTGACAGCTCACACAGTTGTCCCTATGTTGAGTGCAATCTTCACATTCTAAAGCACATGGTTGACATTCTGAAATACTCTCTGGTACCATCATATTTTGAGCATAGAAACCAATAGGGCAGTGTTTGACACAGCTGACACCTTCATAGAGTATGTCACCTATGGTTGAAATAAACAATGAATATTCAAATTAAACAAAAAAAATCTTGGAATAAACTTCTGGATAGTGTTGGAGGCATATGAAGTAGAAATAGAAAATGTCTGTGAATGCTCAATGTGAAAGCAATCTGATAAAAGTATTGAAGTTCATAATACAATGAGAACATAAATAAAGGCAAAGAATGAAAGGAAAACTGTCTGCTATCTATCCCTGAGCATCAAGGTTGGTATGGCCAATCACAGTTAGCAGGGTTGGTATGGCCAATCACAGTTAGCAGGGTTGGTATGGCCAATCACAGTTTGCAGGTTTGGTATGGCCAATCACAGTTTGCAGGTTTGGTATGGCCAATCACAGTTAGCAGGGTTGGTATGGCCAATCACAGTTAGCAGGGTTGGTATGGCCAATCACAGTTAGCAGGATTGGTATGGCCAATCACAGTTTGCAGGATTGGTATGGCCAATCACAGTTTGCAGGGTTGGCATGGCCAGTCACAGTTTGCAGGATTGGCATGGCCAATCACAGTTTGCAGGGTTGGCATGGCCAATCACAGTTTGCCGGGTTGGCATGGCCAATCACAGTTTGCAGGGTTGGCATGGCCAATCACAGTTTGCAGGGTTGGCATGGCCAATCACAGTTTGCAGGGTTGGCATGGCCAATCACAGTTAGCAGGGTTGGTATGGCCAATCACAGTTTGCAGGGTTGGTATGGCCAATCACAGTTTGCAGGGTTGGTATGGCCAATCACAGTTTGCAGGGTTGGTATGGCCAATCACAGTTTGCAGGGTTGGTATGGCCAATCACAGTTAGCAGGGTTGGTATGGCCAGTCACAGTTTGCAGGGTTGGTATGGCCAATCACAGTTTGCAGGATTGGTATGGCCAATCACAGTTTGCAGGGTTGGTATGGCCAATCACAGTTAGCAGGGTTGGTATGGCCAATCACAGTTAGCAGGATTGGTATGGCCAATCACAGTTTGCAGGGTTGGTATGGCCAATCACAGTTTGCAGGATTGATATGGTCAATCACAGTTTGCAGGATTGATATGGTCAATCACAGTTTGCAGGGTTAAAAACAATTAAATAGAAACAAACAAGGTATTTATTCTAATTAGTATAATCAAATAGATAGAAATCACTATACTGTATATTTACCATCGTTGCATTCTAAGCAATCAGTGTCAGTATTACCAAGGCACGTCTTACAGGTCACATGACATTTCTGACACGTTCCACTGGAATAGTCCTCATAGTAACCAGCACCACATAGTCTTTCGCATGAACCATCTTCTTTCAAGAATTTTCCAAATTCACAGCTGAGACAATCTGTACTGCTGCCACCAGTGCAGCTGCCACAGGTAGGGTGACACAATTCACAAGTATCATCTAGAGAAAAAAACAGAAAAAATTGTTTGTACGTACCTATTGTTCAAGAATGCGTGTATTAATGATCTCCCTCAATCTACCATATTTATGGTTTGTGCATACAGAAGTCCTAATAATTGATTAAAAATAGTGTTACTCACGGCTTTCATACTCTCCAAATGAACAGCGGGAAAGACAGTTGCCATCACGTATATCATAGTTTTGATGACATGTTTTACAGTCAAAGTCTGACGGTCCGTCGCAGGTCTCGCATGATCTGTGACAAGGCATACATAAGCTGGATTCATCAAGGTACTGGTTGTCTTCACATTCATATACACACATATATCCTATAAAATATGGGGTTACAACAAATCTCCAGTTGAATAACGGCTTACAGTAATCAAACATGTGAAATTATTATATTGCTAATAAAAATTACATATCAGCAAAAAAGTCACCCAGAAGGACTTAGTTTTGCCAGAGACCCATAGCACTTAGTTTTGCCAGAGACCCGTAGCGCTCAACCCAGAAGCACTTAGTTTTGCCAGTGATACCCTGTAAAATTCAACCCAGAAGCACTTAGTTTTGCCAGAGACCCATAGCACTCAACCCAGAAGCACTTAGTTTTGCCAGTGATACCCTGTAGAATTCAACCCAGAAGCACTTAGTTTTGCCAGTGATACCCTGTAGAATTCAACCCAGAAGCCCTTAGTTTTGCCACTGAGATCTCGTAGCATTCAACCCAGAAGCACTTAGTTTTCCAATATAAACCCCTAGCATTCAATCCAATTTGAGCCATGAGCATTTTAATCAGAATGTCCTACTTTTGTGGAGCCATTTATTCCTAAGTTACATGAATAGATTCTTTGAGTGTGATACAGGTAATAAGGTGGAGCCCAGAACAGAATATTTTTGTTTTAGCTATTTAGGTAAAATGTTTCTGTTAAACAAAAACAAAAAGACAAATTAAAATGCCCTAATTGTGCACGTTTGTGATACTAAAAAAAATGCCAGGATGTGTGGCCTTTGGGGTCATAAAAGTACCAGGATGTGTGACCATTAGGGGTCATAAAAGTACCAGGATGTGTGACCTTTAGGGGTCATAAAAGTGTACTATTAGAAATAAATCTGGTCGCTTAAACATAAACTTTCTCCCACCACACCACATAGATAATGCATCATGCAAACTCACCACTTAGCCACCTTTTGTCATCACAACTTGTGCAGTCATCTACATCAGAACCAATGCATTCTGCACATGATGGGTGGCATTCACCGCATATGTTGTTGTCATAGTCAAAATACGTCTGTGGTGGACAAACTGATTCACATGTAGAATCGAGTGTCAAAAAATAATCCCCAGAACAGCTCAAACAAGAAGTGTGGTGTTTATCGAAGCATGAGTGACATTGCTGATGGCATGCATGACACTCATTCGTGTCTTCATTAGCATAGGTGTTACTTGGACATTCAGTTATTGACACGCACCGATTTTCGTAAAGAAAAAAACTGTTGTAGCAAGAATTACACAAGTTTGGATCATCTGAAATAAATAACACAGAGAAACAATAAACGCATTTCCTATTTAATTCTTACTGCATAATCCATGAATGCTAGGTTTAACCATACAATGGATTTTCAGCAATTTGATCATAATTTGGTTTCAATGTCATCCAATAATAATAACTTTATTGCATCCTCAGAAGTATATATTTTATATTGGTTTACAGCAATAAATATATAAGTGATTAAAATAATAGCAAAGTAAAAAACATAAAAAAAATAGAGAAAGGCATTATATCCAAAGAAAGCTCATTTCTTAAAATGAATGATTTATGCAGAAATTCCCCTAAAAGTTTAATTATAATTCTGTCATTACTTTTCATTAAATATGTGAATTTTTGCAGGTCAGTAATCATTTCTTTGGGGCATAAAATACTGGAAAAAAATCATTTCTATCTGTTTGATATCGTGGGCAAAATACAAGAAAGTGTAATTCGTCTTCAACTTCCTGTAATGGGCATTGTTTACAAATTCTATTTTCTAATGGGGTTTTTGGATTGGTATGTCTGCCTTTTTCAATGGCTGGATTATGACTACTTGTCTTGAATCTAGCTATTGATATTTTTTGATTATTATCCAAAACATTAAGGTAATTTTCCAGATTGTAATTCCTTTATAGTTTAATGTATGTTCTCAGTTTTGTTTTTTCATTTGTCATACTCTCTCTCCAGTATATATTACCGGTATGTATTGTTGTTTAATAGTGCTGCTAATTGCCTTAATATTTTGATGTGATAGCTGTGATGTTTTAGAGAGGTTTACATCTTTCAAGCTATTTTTGACTGATATCTATAAACTTGCAGTACCATTTGTTATTGCCTTGCAGTATTTAAATAAGTATATGGGGGAGAAACTAAACAAAAAATAAGAAATCAGAGATTTGATGGAGATAAACAATATTACTTCTGAATGACTGCAGTAAAACAGATGAAATATAAATTAGTAAACCAAACTCTACTGGCTATACTAGATATTATTTTATTTTCACTGCAAATTCTTTCATCTGCTGTTTCTGTTGAAGAAGACAACATTTTCACAACATTTTTAGTAATCAAAATTTAAGTTTTTGTTCAATAGTAAAAACATTTGATTTTGCCCAGAAAAATACCCATAGTTCTTCATGATATAACACAGTTTGACTGATCTATTGGTTTCCAAATCTTACCTTGATCACAAGACTTGCAATCACCATGACAATCAGGAAGATGTTGACACTTTCCCTCAATTGATGCTTCAGAATCCGGACACTCAATACACTCATTATAGCGTGGACCAATGCAGGTAAAACAAGATTCATCACATGGCAAACAATTACCGGTCTCTTCATCACCATAGTAACCAGTGGAACAATGATCAACACAAATTCCCTCAAGTAAATATTTAGAATCCTTACCTTGAGAGAAAGAGAAGGGGAATGATGTCAAAGACGATGGAAGAATTGACAGTTAGGATGAACCGTATGGACTGAGAAGAATTTAATACTGATAACTGCTAAAAAAACAATCTGCTCTCTGATTGGTCTGATTGGTTGCCAATCAAGCACAATCTTAACTATTTTTGTATTGACTCAGTTAAGCCATATTAAAAATACATTCTGGCATTGTCCATGAAAGATGAATGAAACAACTTCATGAATAATTTGAGACTTTGACCTTGACATCAGTCTAGAAAGAGTAAAACATATACATGTATCATAGTTATGACAAGTTACTCAGTCAAAGCAATGATATAGTTACTCTGTCTCAGACAACTAATAAACAGACTGGCATCGTTACTGTTTAAAGGTGTCAATCGGCATAATCCCTGATGCACACACGTATTGGCTATGCTGGTGGCTCACGCTTTGCTGAATTTTGACGAATGGCGATTACACACATTGGTAATCTCTGATCTCGCATGCATTTCACCCATTCTCTGCATTAAATTCAGATCTGATCACCCGGAAACAAGAGAGTTTTGCGTTGAGTTGCTGAATAATGTATATTTTTTAGTCAAAATTGACCATAATTTAGGAAAGTAACGATTATTTGAATGTATTGACTATCTTCATAGTAATGTTCTTGAATGTATAACCAAGAAAAAGAAATGACTTTTACCAGAACACGGCATTTTTTCCCGATAATTACTTGATTTTTCTAAGATAGTTCGCGTCGCCATGTTTACAACAAAGCTGGTCTTATGTTATTCCATTTTGCCGATCATGTATTAAAAAGCCGTTGAAAATACGATACGTCAGGGCAAAAAATGTACTAGTCAACTAAATCGAAATGAATATAACAATCTCGAAATAGTACTGATGCGATGTGTGTAGGAACGTCGTGCGAGAGAACGCTTATTACTCACTTCCACCTGATTTATTTCCACTGCTATTTAGTTTGATCTGCAACTGAATTGTATACTTTGTTTTATTGTTACCCAGACCTGTTTTATGAATGTCTTTGGACCCGCGAGAATCACTAACGTAAGAAAAATATGAAACTTTGGCCAGACCTTTCGCATCACTTCCTGTTATAACAAATCATGCATTAACGCACAACTTGATGGACATTTTCCTATCTCCCCAAGTTGCCTATAAGATTAAAACGTTATCGCAACAGTGAACACAAGACACATGTTAGATCAAAAGAAAAACCCACGTTGCCAGTCTGTTTATTAGTTGTCTTATTAGTAGAGCTCAGTCAAAGCAATGATATATTTTTAACTTCTGAGCAGCTCTGAAAATGAACACGTTTTGAATTCTGTGGTTTGAACATTGGTTCATTGCCATCAAACATTATGCAAATGAGGTGCACAATATAAACAGACCATGTGACCAACACCTCAGCCCAGGCCAGGCCAGGCAGTGGATGTGCACATTGGTTTACCAGTATTTGCACAATTTTGTGAAACATCAACTCAAATGCCTATTTTAGGTAATGGGGTCTAAGAGAGCTACTGTTTTACACAATAGAATACCTAGCACACTTTGATTTGTGTACACGTTATATTATGACAGTTATATATGACCAAAACAACTAAGGGTCAGAGAGGTATTGTACACACAGAAAAGAATTTTCTGCAGAGACAACACATTTTTTCTACATATTTAGAGACGACTATCATCAAATGAGGCGTTTTATGAGAATATACACAAATAGCAGAACAGTAATTTAGAACAGAGGAACATCTTCATGGAATCTAACCACAAATTAAAAGTAGAAACTATCACCAGCATCTTTCACATCTAACCTCTCAGAACATACAAATCACGCTAGTTCATACAATAAAATATGACAAACACAATAGAGTTCAGAGTTAAGAATTTGATTTGATGACGATAAAATGGCATTTGTGGTAGCATTATTTTGCAAAATTAATTGCTAGTTTTAGAAGCCCAGTGAAATTCTCACAGCTATACAATCTCAAGATTTTTGCCGACTTGCAAAAAGTTGTCTCACAAAATTAAAAGTTTACAGTAAACCCCAATTAATAATAAACTAAAAGTCTACATATGATACTAACATTGAGTACAGTCAGTTGGTTGACCTCCTCGACATCGAAGACACGAACTATGACAGCTACGACATTCACCATTCAAGCCATAATTCTTCTCACCACATTCACCCACACAAGTGGAATTATTCTTCAGAAACCTAGTGATAATAAGAATGCAAAAGTATCATTAACGTTTAAGAAAACTGCACCTCCGTCTTCATTCTGGATAATATCTGTCCGTCTTTGAGTGTGTCTGTTGAACAACATTTCTTAGAATGACATGGACTTTTTGTATCCAAGACTGGATGAAGATGAAATTTGATGGACATTTTTGTTCAAATTAACACTCAAAACAATACAATGTGTGATCAAGTTTTTCTCAAACATACATGGGCAGTTCTTATTCAAAATTAGAAAGCTAGGTTATTGATGCATGGTTTTTGCTTAACGATTTGGTTCAAAAGGACTGACTAGCAGATGTTTATTTTTGTGAATACACCTGGTACTGATTTATCACACAAGACATAATTAGTATAATCAGAGGTACATTACTTGGGGTTTGCAACTCGCAATAGTACTGTATGGTGACATCATGTCAAGATCCCATTCAAGTCTCTTCTCGTAGATAGCGAGACTGAGGCTACGACCTGACATGACGCATATCAATGTTCAAGGTTTGTAATGAAAAAAATAAACTTTTCTTGTCACTATCATAGTGAAAAATGTAATACATCGAAAATGTACAGAAAATATAGTTCTCGTAATCCGTCATATCGTGGGCAGCTATTTTGATCCACCTGGACATTCCAGTATCCTAGTTACCTCGGGCATGCGCATACGCATTTTTTCTGAGTTGGAACGCTTGTGCGAGAGCGAGATTGTGACGGGATCTTGGTATCATGTCACCGTAGTTACAAACCCCAAGTAATGTACCTCTGGTATAATACATATACCGTATAATCTCTTGAATAGGCGTCATTCTTCAAACATTTCAATCTTTCCTGACACCTAGATTAGAGTCTAATTTAGGTTTTCCTGTAGTCATTGATGCCTTTTCAAGAATGAATGTGAATGTGTAAACTGCATTTCGACAATGAGCTGTTAATCCCCATAAAAAGTGTTAAATTCTTTTTCAATGATCAGTTTATCTTTTGAAAACAAATAATTTCTTGATTTAAAAAAAAAAAATCATGCAACTTTCGTATTGAAATCAAAGCCAAATGATTAAAACAACATCGGTAATTCTCTTCCATGTTGCGTTCACCATTAAGTCGCCGAATTAACATATTTAAATGAGCTTTGATAATTCACCTAAAACAGACTGACCCTATTCAAGAGATTATACGGTACATATTAGTACATAGAATCATACTTACAGTCCATATTCACATTCGTAGCACTGATCTTCTCTAGTTCCATGACATGTTGCACAGGTCATGTGACAAGGCGTACAATCATCACCATCCAAAAACTCGCCTGAAAAAAACAATGTAATTGAAGGTGAAGCAATTAACTATTACCGGTAATGCGAGAAATTATCACTACCGGGTATTTCGTTGTGCTCTTTCACTGCTTCAATAATGTAAATTGCTGTTATTTCGTGAGAAGTAATGATTGCATGAACTACAGGAAAAAGTGTCCCCTGGCAACCAGAAACTTGTTGTGTTCACTCAGACACTTTGGTATTAGTGTGATGCATCAAGGGACGTTCTGCTTTCAAATTTTTGACAAAATAAGCATAATTTCCTATAGGCAACAGGCTTAGAAGAAAATTTTTGGAAAAATCTGAAAATAATTAGTGAACATTTACAAAAATTACTGTTAACTGTTTAATTTTTACTTCTAACAAGCAGCCTATCGGCCGAGATAGCTCCGCTGTTAGCAATGCACTTTTCAATTAAAGAACTGAAGACATCATCAGAAAATGAACAATATGTATAGTATCAAAGCAATCGAACTTACAGTTTTTAAAGGCCCAGGTATACTATAAATACGCTCTTAAGGTAGCGAGAAGGTTTTGTGACGTTTTTAAATAAAACATTCTCTGTCTGTTGTCTCGTTCAGAACAGTAATTTAGGTTATATATATCAAAAGACTAAGTATAGAGGTGCAAGTTCGCACAAACTGGACAGACATTGTTTACATAATTATCACGTGACATCAAAAATGGCGGACCTTGTAAAAATGACTAAGTACGCGATTGCGAAAGCACACTGCGGAATTTCCTGGTGAAATTTAAGTTATGCATTGTCCGTAATCAAGTCCATTGAAATGCGTCTCCGATAATCAAAAGACCTATTATTCCGATTTCTATGCAGGTTTGTTTTTTTGTCCCCAAATTATTTCATACTTGGCACGTTTAACAGACTATTATTCTGTGACAAAGCATTTA